TGTCCGGCTCCAGAACCAAAGCTCTAGTCACCACATCTTACTTCCTTTTATAACAGCTCTGAATTGTTACGGATTCTTCTAGTAATTAGATAGGCTGAGAAAGAACAGGAGGGAGAATCACTTATGGACTTCATAGTCACTGTCATTGGAATGGAAAGCGTTTGGGGTTTGTTGCCAAGAGCATCAAGAGCCTCAAGAGTGTGACTTCCCCCAGTTCCCCTCCTGCTGTTCTCTGCCCACAGAAATCAGTGCCCAGGAGAACCCCTGTCCCAAAGGTAAGGAAAAGGCCAAGCTCAGTTACACAGCAAATGAATCACTCTCCCAGTGCCTTCACCCTAAGGACTGGCTGAAGTTCACACCAGCTGAGGGGGTGCTGCTGACAATATAAATTCAACCGCCCCTCAGCTCCATGGTGAGAGGAAAAAAGGTCCCCAGAGGAAAACACTGATGTTCATCCTGCAAGAAACCCCTTGCTCGGGCTCGGAGATCACATCCCCAGCTCCACGTTCACAGAGTCCCACTTATAAGGACAAAATCTGGAAACACAGGTGCCATTAGTCAAGGAGGGCTTTAGCTTTACCTGCAATGTTTGTTTTGAAAGGAGAATATATTTGAATATTTCTTGAATCATAAAATGTTACCTTTTTTTTTTAAAGTCTCAGGATAAAAAGGTCAGGTCAGAACTTTTCAGGTTTAAAGTTCTGAACATACAGTGTCCAATTACACAGGACACAGGTCTTTCTCTCTCTCTCTTTCCCCCGCAGCCCCCCGCCCAACCCCACCTTCAGAAACAGACCTAGAATCAAGTGTTCCCGCCTCCCACTCTAAGTCACATGCTAATGGAAGGGCTCCATAGAAACCTCTGCCTCGTAGTCCTGCTTCCACTCCTACACTCAGCTCCCTGAATCTCTCTTGCGGTGCCAGCCCAAGTCGTATCTAAAACATAAACCAAATCCCATCACCCACTTTATCAAACCCAGCCTTTACCGTGGCCTACAGGCCCCATATGATCTGGCCCTTGGCTACCTTCCCGCTTCCCTCATTCCAGCCCCAGCAGCTACCTTGCGTTCCTAGAACACACCAAGCATATTTCCACCCCGTGCTTTGCACTTGCTCATTCCTCTGCCAGGAAAGCATTTACCTCACATATCTGCAGGGCTTATTTCCTCCTGTCCTTGAAATCTCTGATCCACAGTTATCTTATCAGAGGCCTATCTGATCACCCTGCCTAAAATAGCACTCTCCCACCACCCCCACACCTTCTTCTTTTTCTCCTATGGTGATGTGTGTGTGTGTGTGTATACACACACACACACACACACACACACACACACACACACACACATTTTGCCCCTGTTAATTGTCTGGTTCCCTCTCTCAGATGTAAGCTCCAAGGGGATGACACCTGATTGTCACATTCACCCTTGCACCTGCAGAGCTAAGAACAGTGCCCATCACGTAGTAAGCCCTCAGTAAATTAGGGGCTGAGCTAATATCAATGGGCCCTTTTCAGCCCGTTTATTTAGCTGCTATGCACCTAGAGCAGAACCAACATGAATTTCTTTTTGGCGTTTGTCAGTGCCTCTTAACAATAATTAACATTATTATGTGCCAGGCCCTGTGCTAAGTGCTTTCCTCTATTATACTATTTAATGAAAATGAAGCATTGCTTTTTACTTATGTATCCCAAGGCACATCATATGACATACAACACAGGTGGAAGTGTCTTCAAAAC